GTAGGTTTTAAAAATGAAAAATTATAACAATTTCTAATATAACGCTATGGATGTACATCCTCATGAAGCATGACATAAGATGGCTAATTAGCAAAACAGATAGTGGTCTGCCTTTTAAAAGGTGGCTTAATCTGACCATGTAACTTTAAACATGAAGATTTTCACAAAGAATATTCTGGAGCCACAGAAGTAACTCAATGATAAGCACATAATTCTATGTCAAGCCCATATCGATGCCTGGCCTCGAACATAAAAATAAAAGGGATGAATGGGCTTAAAGCCCCTTGTGACAGTGAGACAAGGCCCTCCATGCTCTTGAATTACTTTGGGAACTGTTGTTACTGACGCAAGGAGACCTAGCAAGACATTGCATGTTTTATCTCAGAAATGGGACCTAGATTTAAATTTACACCACACACACACACACACACACACACACACACACACATACACACATTGGGAGAATATTTAAGAGTATTAAAGGGGCCAGAGAAGAAAATGACAAGGGAAAGTAATGATTGCCAAATATGAGCAAAGTATGATACACGTTATGGAAATGTCATAAATAAGCCCGTTATTGGATCAAAGACCTTAATGTAAGACCAGAAACTCTCTTAAAAAAAATACTTCAAGATATAGGTATAAGGAAAGACTTTCTGAATAAAACTGTAGTTACTCAGAAAATAAGGTCAATAGCTGATAAATGGAACCTCATGAAACTGAAAGCTTCTGCCCATCCAAGGAAAGAGCTAATCAAGCAAAAACAGCACACAGAACGGGATAAAAATCTTCATCATACTTCGGACCAAGGATTAATATGTAGAATGTACAGATCTTTTGAAAATCTAAACCACAAGAAATCAAACAATGCAATCAGTAAGAAGAGTAGTAAAACAAATAGTCAGTCAGTTCTTGAAAGATAAAACACAGACGGCCTCAGTACAGAGAAACACAAGTCAAAACTACATTGGGGTTCCATTGGTCTCCAGTCACAATGGCAGTCACTAAGAAGCAATTAACAATGAATGCTGGCGAGGATGTAGACAGAAAGGAACCCTTATGCATTGCTGGTGCGAATGCAGACTAGTCCAGCTACTACTGAAGTCAGTATAGAGAGAGGGTCTTCAGAAAACAAAATTAATCTACCATGTGACCTAATTAGGCCATTCTTCAGTATTTACCCATAGGAATCCAGTTATATATATCACAGAGACACCTGCACATCAATCATACATACCTGTATAAAATGTCATTTAACACAGCACCATGTACAGTGAATTTATACTCTGAAAAACTATATATATATATATATATATGATAACCAATGAATGATGAGGGATGGAGAGACCCCGAATTCAATTTTCAACACCACCCTGAAATTTAGGAATTTATTTAGCACCTCCATACTCCTTACTAAATGACCCCCATAGGCTCACATGTTTGAGCATTGAATGTGTTTAAACACTTGGTCCCCAACTACTGGTGGTGCTGTGGTGGTGCTGTGTGGGAAGGTCATAAAACCTCCAGGAGATAGATAGATGAAGCCTTGCTAGGAGTGAGTGGGTCACTGAAGGTGGAGCTTAAAGTTGTATAAGCTGTTCCAGTCTCTTGCCCCCTGCCCTCTCTCCTCCCTCTGTTTCTCTCTCTGACTCTCTCTGTCTCTTTCTCTCTCTCTCTCTCTCTCTCTCTCTCTCTCTCTCTCTCTCTCTCTGCTTCCTGGCAGCAAATGCAATATGAACAGTCAACCTCCCACCCTAGCTCACATGCTTCCTCCTCCATGATGGCTGTGTCCTTTTGAACACATAAGTCAAAATAAACCCTCTCACCTGAAAACTGTGTTTTGTCCCAGCAACAAAAAAATAGTAACTCCTGATTAATTGACTCCCATTGTATAGAGTCAAGTTTGCACAGCATGGCAGTGAAGGGGGACACATAAGCACACTTCTAAAATAACAACAGTGTCAAATTCTAGGGTTTTCTTTCTTTTCCAACTAGGGAAAAGCCAACTTGTTGGTAATGATCGGAAATGAATACAAAGCTGTCTATGGCTGGTACATGCCTGTCTCAAGTATGAAAACCTCTGGAAAACATTTGCATTATCCAAAATAGGACCTCGCATGTTAAGAATCATAATTAATGAGCTAGTCATAGGTGGAAAATATATTTTATTTTGAAAAATTATCCACATTAATCATCAGAATGTCTGTCATTAATGTGTATTTTTCTTTTGCTTAGCATTGGCATAGTCACAATAATAATTATTAAATCACTGAAGTAAATATGACATGTATGTAAGTAGAGTTTTTTAAAAAACTAAAAGAGAAATCTATTATTTTGTATGTTTATAAAAATTAATTTGCTGGGTGGTGGCAGCAGGACACACTTTTAATCCCAGCACTCGTGAGGCAGAGGCAGGCAGATCTCTGTGAGTTTGAGGCCAGCCTGATCTACAGAGTGAGTTCCAGGACAATTAGGGCTATTACACCGAGAAAGCTTATCTTGAAAAACGAAAATTAATTTTTTTTTTCGAGACAGGGTTTCTCTGTAGCTTTGGTGCCCGTCCTGGAACTAGCTCTTGTAGACCAGGCGAACTCCCAAGATCCGCCTGCCTCTGCCTCCTGAGTGCTGGGATTAAAGCAGTGCACCACCACCGCCCGGCCAAAAATTAATTTTTAAGAGTGAACTTCACTGATGTATGTCTTGCTATGTTCTGAACTAATGATAGTAGTTCCTAACGTGCTCATTTTATGCCTTACACTATTTGGTTAAGGCAGGGGACCTCTTAGAAAATAGAAGGAACAAGGCAGGATGGATTCAACGATTATGAGAAAAGATTCCATGGAAATGGGGCCAAATGCATCATCCCTGTTAGACCTCCAGAGCAGAATACAGCTGCTGCATCATCCCTGCTGGAGACTTGGGGTCAACAATGGTGATATTTGGTATTAGGTGGCTTTGTACTTTGAACAGTTGTAGAATCTCTGTTGATTCTCAGAGGTTACACCCTTAGTTTTGTTTCGTTTTGTTTTTTTCTCTCTCCATACTTGACCTATAGAATCAGATGAGGTGGAAAACACTTGCATCATAACCAGAATGAGAAGCACGTACCCCTCCCTGGTATCAGATACTGACGTGGTATTTATGCAGATAGCTGCCTTCGTTAGGAGATAACCTTCTTTTTCCACGTGCTTATCTGAACGTGGTGCCACCTTTCCGATTACGATCAGTTGACTTTCTCAGTTAGGTAGCTCTTGGGAGAGCCGACGAGACTCCTCGTCCATCCTCATTTCTGAATTATAGTTTTTCCATCCCTAAAATGAGGTCGTTGTTTTAGATGATTTGGGGAGTGTTTTCCAGCTTTCAAAATCCCCTGATTCACAGTTAGTTCACTCCCCATTGTCCTTCTGATTGTGTGGACAGAAGAGACAGTGATCTCACTCCGCTGCTAAATGGCAACGTTTAATGGAAAAACATATATGTTGGAAGGCCGACTCCCCCCGGGGATGAAATAAGTGAACAGGCATTTGCAAGGTCATTGACTGAAGACTTACAGGAAAGCTTGGGATCCTCTGCCAGCATAGCTGCTACAACCCAGATAGCCTAAGCAAAAATGCTATTCCTATGTCATGTTTCAGTCATTACTCAAGGGCTCAAGGACCTCCTCTTGGGACGCTATCACGGGAATGTCCAGACAGTTGTCTTTAACTCCGGGAAGAGCGGTTTAGAAGGAAGATCTTGCCACATGTATCCAGCTGTGTGTTTTGTACTCTCGGAAGCAAAGTATTCTATAAACACAGACATAAGCCAATAACAAATGCTTGTAGTCACTGCAACCTCGTGTACACAAGGTATCAAATTAATAGCTGCAATCACATTTACTGTAATCATAAACCAGACAGCAATACTGTATTTGCATTGGAAAGCCAAATTCTGGAAGTTCACCCTTGAATGACTTGAAGTAACTGGAAAATGAGTTGGGTTTGCTTAGCGTTTGTGAAATACTGCTTAGTCACAAAACTAGCTGGTGTGCCTGTGAATGACTGATAAAACTTTTCACTTGTTAACACATTAGCTATTGCCAATTATGAAAAATCTCCTGGGAAAAAAAAAAGATCAAGTCTAAAATTTCAATGTGCCAGAGGCCTTGGTCCATGCCATTATTCTCAGAGTGGGCTTTCTGTATCCAGAATCATCCTAACAGGATCTTTAGGTATGGTGGCTTAAGATGGGGAGGTGAAAATCAGTCATTTCCTCCTCTCCATGCTACAGAACATTTCTTTCTCTCGACACTGTATACTCATCCTGGAAGAATGCAACGTGGCTGGCATGGAGACACATTCTTGTTCCCCCTTTGCAAGGCTTGAGGTGTCTCCTGGAAAGTCACCGAATGTGGTCATTGCATTCCCAATTGTGTGCTAATCCCTGTTCTTGGAGTCAAGCCTTCCTCTTTCTCCTGCTTTCTCTGTACCTGGACAGCTGAAGGAGGGAGAATGATTCTCTAAAGGAAGTTGGCAGTTTCTCATCTACATTGTATTTCCCAAAGCAGGCTCTCGTCAAGGTCAATACTCTCCTGGCCTCTGACTACAGATTTTCCTGTCAGATACCCTTGTCTTGTGCTGCTATGCTTTCGTCCTACTCAAATTTATGAATCATAAAGCAGGGCACATGGAAAATCTTTTTATAGAGATAGACATATTGTTTCTGCGCCTGCCTTTCTATTCTGAGGGCAGAGAGGTGAGGCAGGGTCACGTGCTAGAAGCTTCCACGTAGCAAGGGTGAAGTGGGGGCCCTGCTACCTTTTCTGAAATCTGACATTCAGAGCCAGTCAGGAATGACTGCCCTAATGCATGGGGCGCCTTCAAGCCCCAAACTCCCCCAGCTAAAAAGGGCTTTACTTGAAAAGGATGAGCGTTGAAAGTCTGTCTGTCGCCTTGCCCTCGTAGACAGGGGGCGTGGAGTGTTCCTGAAGCTAAAGTCTGGGTTTTCTCCTTTGGTCGCAGGGTGTCAACATGACTGACCGCTTTGACTGCCACCACTGCAATGAGTCGCTGTACGGCAAGAAGTACATCTTGAAGGAGGAGAACCCGCATTGTGTGGCCTGCTTCGAAGAACTCTACGCCAACACGTGTGAAGAGTGTGGCACGCCCATTGGCTGCGACTGCAAGGTAGCTGCCTGCTGGCTCTTGGAAACGCCCTCCCCACCTCTTAACCCACTCCAGCGCTACCGTCCCAAGAGCAGGCTCTTGGAAACGCCCTCCCCACCTCTTAACCCACTCCAGCGCTACCGTCCCAAGAGCAGGCTACTTCTTGGCATCCTTGTCCTTATCTCCCGTGTTTAAGACAGCCGCCTTTGATGGCTTTGAATTCTCGTGAGGCCGGGCAGAGCTGCTCACTCCATGATCTAGTTTCTGCCTGTCAGATGAGTGCTGTGCCAGGTTGTCTGCTTGGTGTTCTAAGTCCATGCTGCCTCTTCTGGTTTCTAGGGCCCTTATCTAACCCCACCCTTCCGGGCAGTGGTAAAGCCTCCTCCTGCCTTTGCTGTTTGCCTCTTGGTGACTAACAGGGAACAGGTGCTGCTTAGTAAATATTTGATGAGCGAATGTATATATGCATTATCTAGTCATCCCCTGGATAAGTGGGCCCAGAAAAGCAGCAACGTCCTTGGGATCTGATGGGCTCTTTTCCCTTTGGGGAGAAGAATGGGGTTTGCCGAACGTGGGCTACACAAGGGAGGGTCTGTCTTCGCTCTCCATCAACGGGACAGCCTACCCAAGACAACAACTTCTAAGGATCAGTTTAATCTGGCTCACAATTTGAGACCTTCCAATTCTTGTGAGGTTGGCATAGTCACCTTTGGCCCGCACACCGTGGCAGGAGCCTATGACAGAGAAAGCCTCTCTCCTTGTGGTATGAAGCAGGAAAGGGTTAAAGTCCCAATATTCCCGTTAAGGGCACACCTCCAGTGACCCCTCCCCACAGGCTCCACTTTCTGAAGGTGCCACCACCTCTTAGCAGCTCCAAGCTAAACACCAAGACTTTAACACCTGGGTCTTTGGGGGAAGTCTCAGACCCCAACTATAGTGGGGGTTCACGTAAGATTCTTGTTATCTTTACTGGCAAAAGTACTCCTAGAACACACTTGAAAAGCAATTCAAGTGACTGCCACCCCCACAGCCCCAGAACTGATTACCAAAAGGGGCAACTTTGGAGTCCCTAGGGAATTTCCAGCTTATGGACTCAAAGGAAATGCGTGGCATTGGGCAGTCTAATTTCTGCTATCAGTACTTTCTCTTTCATTGGGATTTTTACTATTCTCCTCCGTGAGTATAAAAACCAATATGTAACTTCTGACTAACTGACTCAGGCTCTGTCGGCAGTAGGAACATTCCAGCATGCCCAGTGCATGGCCCTTACTCATTCTTTTTTCATCTGTCTCCTAGAAAATAGCCAAATGGGTATGCCAATAATTTCTGTTGCTAGCTATCTGCGTATTGAGGAAGGATTTCTGTCTGGGCCACCAATGAAGTGTGTGGACCTGAGTCACTCAAAACCAAGCTGCAGCCAGGTAGCTTCAGCTTCAGAGTGTTAGAGGGCAACTTAGCAGTTGCATCATGCCAGTGTTAAAAACGCTCAGAGGACTGATGACCACAAGCAAACGGCTAACCTGACCCATCGCAAATGGTATTTCTTCCTTTCTCCAGCTTTTGCTGGTGTGTGTCATGTTCCAGGAGGTAAGCATTCTTACGCCCAGAGTCAGCTTTCTATCATGGTAGCACAGATCACTTGCTCCTAAAGAGAGTCATTTAGGCTTCCAGCTTTAAGAGGGCTCCCTCCATGATTGGATGGACACACCACTTTTATTGAGGCCCGTGCCAAGGCAGCCCATCATGGTAGATGCACATGGAAAAACAAAGCTGCTTACTCTGTAAACTGAGAAACAAAGCAGGAAGGAGGCAGGAGCCAGGGTCTCACAGCCCCCTTTTAAAGCACATCCTCAATCATCTAAGGCTCTCTCTACCTTCTAAAGGTTCCACTGCCTCCCATGAGTTCCCGGTGGGGAACTAAACCTTTAACACATAGGACTTGGGAGGAAACCTAAGATCCAAACGCTACCAATCTCTCCACCTATTCAATAGGCCAAGCAATAGAGCTCAGCTGCCAGGCAGTCTCATGCCTTTCTGTTGAACTTCAACCGGTTACTCGACCCCTCTGTGCTCTTGTCCACGTCTGTAAAACGGAAAATGAGGTGTCTGCCGGATAGGGTCACTGTGATAAGCGTCCTCATGCAAAGTCCTCACAATGAGTGGCAGCTGTGATATTGTAAGCCCCGTGCTTCTGCTCTCGCTCCAATTCCTCTTCCATTCTTCCTCTAACACATTCTTCCCAGAAGCCTTGCCCTCCCTACCTGTTTTCATGATGGCCGCACCAGTAAAAATGTCAGTGTGGAAGACTAACTCCTAGGCAGAGACAAAAAGAAGGATTTTATATAAAAACAAAACAAAACAAAACAAAACAAAAAAAAAACCCTCTCTGGATAGGAAAGAGTTAAGCTGGTGAGAGGTCGACATAGTGTTCCGATGATGAATGCTAGCTTAAAGGAAATAATGCGCATATCTGGGGCTAGTCATCCCTGACCAATGGCTGAAGTAAAAACAAGACAAACGTCACTTATCATTTCTCCAGAATGATTTAATGGAAAGACCCCAAAAGGCGGTCTTCTTTCCAAAGACATTTTATGCACAAATAAACAAGAGTCTCTCTGAGGGGCCAAAGTCAACAAGACTGCTAAAGGGGTCAGAAGCTAGCACGCTGAACTTTTCAACCCACAACCAGCAACTGGAGATCAAGTGGGTGTGGGTCCTGCCCTGTGATTTTCCTCGTTGGGGAACAAAGAGATGTGGGGCGGAGGGAGACTTTTGAACTGGAGGATTTTCCCTGTTTGCTGTGGTTTTTCTTGATCATCAGACATAGTTGTGTAGTTGATTTTGTGGAGGAAGCAGTGATCAAAACAAAAAAAAAAAGTTTCTGTTACTTCAGGAAGTAAACTAAAACATTGCAGCAGGAGCTAATGGCCGCTCAGCCTTCAGTCTTCTTAAAGTAGTCCAGGCATATCTGACTGCGTTCAGCTCCATGGAAGACAGGCTTATGAGTAAAAGCCTAAGATAAACTCATGCCTGTGGGAATTGGGCTGATTTTGAGGCACCGAGATAGATGCGTTTTGAGAACGTGTCCCGGTAACTAGAATGCATCTGTTTGTTCGATTGTCCTGGCAGCCACCTAGCTCCCTTCCTGTCTCCATTCGGCCACTCTTTGGAAATTCTGTAATAATCGAGGCGGGATCATTGATTCTGACAGCCAGTGAAATAGTTGAGAAGCCACAATACAAATGTAATTTTATTGTCCTGCAATATTACATCTTTTTCTTGGATACCCAGAGACAATAGCAAAGAAAACCATATGTTGATTATAGGATTATTATTTTTTTTTTAGCAACCTGAGTTCTGAACCGCAGAAAGTGAAGAAAAACAGACTTCTCATAGAGCACTATGCATCTAAAAAATTAATGACTGTAACAAAGGGCTCAGACTGAACAGACTGAATATTCTATGCCTTTGCAAAGTCCTGACGCTGGGCAGGCTGTCATACTCCAGTGTACCTTGAGGAGGCGCTGTGACGAGAGCAGTAATAGTAAGGAAAAGATGCCAGTAGAGGATGCTAGCAGCCAAAACTAATCTTAAAACTTAGCACCCGTTGGGTAGTTACTTGGCTCTGGCACTTGGAAATGACTCCGTTGTGTTATCTAAACCCCTCTAGATTCCTCCCACTGATAAGGACTTTTTCACCCCATCACGTGTAGAAACCACTGAGGCTTAGAAGAGTTGAAGCTCTTACTGAGGGATTAGGAAGTAGTAGCGATAGACACAGACAGACACGAAAGGTCCCTAACCGACAAGCTGTGCTCCCTGCCCACTTGCACGTAGCCTTGCCCATGAACTTCAGATCAGATATGGACTCTCAGTGGTCAGTCCTGTGAGTAAGAGATTTTTGCCTGACCTCTGCCACCTGTCTCCCTTATGGAAAAGGTCCTTGTCTTCCTCCTGTTCAAGAGCAATGAGGGCACTACAGAAATGGTGCCGGGTGTGGGCTACAGTTCCTCTCCAGCTTTCTGGTGCTACTGTGGCACACTCAATGTGTCCCCTGCTCCTGTCCACCATAGTATGCCAATCCCTGGAATAGTGAGCTTCCAGTAGTGTTCATCCCGCAAGCCTGTGGAGACTTAAGGGGAAGTCTCAGGTCCACTCCCCAGGGCAGGGTTGGGATATTTACGGGTTAAATACGGAATAGGCAGAATAGACTGTTTTATCAAACTTCCTCACTTGTGGGCATCAAGGCCAAAGCTCAGGTGTTATCTCCACTCAACTAAAAAAAAAAAATAGCGAATAAATGACGACAGCAGAGGTGGTCTGGAGGGTTGATTCAGGAGCTCCAAGCACATTCACCGGCTACTCACTGGCTTTACTAGTCAATTAAGAGGGAAACATCAAAGTTCTAATAGGATCAGCACCAATTCTCTCTATCAGGACGCACTTTCCTACTTAATGTTGAAAAGTTTTTAAACAGAAAATCTAGGAGGTCTTTCTTTGGGGGATTGAATGGGAACTCTGAGGTGGACTCTGGTCCTCCCAAACCCAGGGAAGACCTAGATGCCTGTCTTGTGTTTGAGAAAGTTCTTGAGCACCGGTGGAGTGGGGGCTGTTAGGAAGGGGCCAGTCTTCTACCGGCATGATGCAGGCCTTGCCTACAGCCCGTCTGGACCCCTCTCTGCTAAGAGTGCTGTGCCGTTCTTCCTTTTATGGCCTCTTTCAAACTGGATGCTTACTCTTTGGAATGATTTTCGAGTTTTTTTTTTTCTTTCAAAAATATGAGATTTTTTGTTGGGTGTGGTGGTTCATGCCTTTAATCCCAATCCTCCAGAGGCAAAGGCAGGTGGATTTCTGTGAGATCAAAGCCAATACAACTGACATAACAAGTTCTAGGCCAGCCAAGGCTACCCTTTCTGCAAAATAATAATAGCAATAGTTTTAAATAGTGTATCAAGTCAGTACTCTCCAAATTAGGATGTTTAAGTTATTATTATTATTATTATTACTGGTGTTGTTGTTAT